CTGCGCAGTCTGTAACATAGTGACCATCTGTTCAACAGTCACTACGTGCAAGACACTTTTAGTTTTGGGTACTTCTCAATTCAGTCTGTTACATGCAGGAAGTAATTTCATAGAACACCAGCATATAGATTTAATATATGGAAGTTTAAAAACAGAAATAGGATGGAAGTATTTGCTTTGCTTAATAAGGAACCTGTAAAATAATGAAATTACAGTGGAAATTATGAAAGTAATTCTAGCTTCTTTGGTTGAAAAGGAATTGTCTCAGCCCATCGGAGCTCACGAATGTTGTCCTATTCCTGACACACCCCAGTCCTGTAGGATTCCCATTATCTCCACCCAATAGCTCTGCTGTAGTTGCAGTAACACAAGAATGTTTGGCCCACCTGGGTGCACCTCTGCCTTCGGCCTGACACACAAATAGAAAAAGAATTTACAAGGCCAGATTGTTCCAGACACGTCCTAGCCGAAATTGGGAGATCTCATTTTCAAACAATGGTGCCTCAGGAGGACTCCTCTATGGCACTGCTGGGTGCTCAGATCAACACACAGGAGGATAAATTCCCTGTCCACGTGGGGTTTGGACAAAGATGGCTTCTGTGGTGGAAAATTGGCTTCACAGTATCAACAGCCTATTGAAATGTACAGTTGAATACAAAAACGGAAGAGATGCACCACAGTAAAGAGATGCAGTAGACCATACAGTACAGCAGCTCCCCAAGGAAATGTGCTCACACCTGCTTGGGCAGGCCTATGAATGATTAATTTGTGTGGATTGACTGAAATCTCCACTCCTGAAGTGCTCTTTCTATTGTCATCTAGTGGTCAATGATAGACTTCTCCACAGAATTTGGTCCATCAACAGGACGGCGTTCGTTTGATATTGTCCTGCTAAGAACATAGGAATGGCCATACTGGGTCAGAACAATGGTCCATCTAGCCCAGTATCCTGTCTTCTGATAGTGGCCAATGCCAGGTGCTTCTGAGAGAATTAACAGAAGAGAACAATTTATAGAGCAATTTAAGGTGCATAAAGGCCTCAGCAGGACCTCTGCAAGAGTTGCTCTCACTGGATCTGTGGATAGTTTTGTGCCATATTGCTACAACACCTGTCTAAAGTGGAAAGGCAGGAGACCTGGAGGCACTTAGAGAGCACAGATTATTTGGTGAGGTGGGGAGAACGGTGCAAGTGCCTGACCACAAAGCAGGATCCCCTGCTGTTAGTGTTTGTCAGAAGTAAGTGATGCAGGAGGCAGACAGAGCCAGGGCCAGCACTTCCACTAGGCGACCCTAGGCGGTCACCTAGGGCGGCACAATTTGGGAGGTGGCATTTTGCCGTCCTTGGCTGAAATTTGGCAGCGGGGGTCCTTCCGCTCTGGGTCTTCCGCAGAAATTCGGCGGCGGATCCTTCACTCGCTCTGGGATCTGCTGCCGAAGTGCCCCGAAGACATGGAGCGGAAGGACTCCCACTGCCGAATGCTCAGAGGAGGAGCGCTGCCGCCTAGGGCAGCCAAAACCCTGGCGCCGCTCCTGGACAGAGCTGTAGGAAAGAGACCTTTGTTCAACATACTGAGTGGCCAATGCTACACGCGGAGGCTGTACAGTTTGTCTGGCAACCTTGCCTCTTCTTGCTTTCCTGAGCCCACCAACAGCTCCTCCTCAAACCTGACCCTCCTTCTCGAGTTCCACTCACCATACTATCATTTGCTGGTTTGTTTAAGTGATAATTTGATATAGTAGGTGCGGAAACAGCAACCAGCGGAGGAGCAAATACCTGGCTCACGGCACACACGGTTAACCCGGTCTCTTATTGCCACATGCCAAACCCATCCTTGTGCCATGGCCAGCCTTGCCATGTTAGGGGGCCAGGGACGAGACTATTGAGATCTCTGACCTTATGTTCAGCCACTGCACATCAGTAATTAAGAGTCTCCCTCACTAAAGCCCCAAAATAGACAGAGAGAGCCTGATTGTCCAAGGCGCTGAGCACCCCCAGCTTCTGTTCACTGTTATAGGAGATGCTGGAGATCAGCACATCTGTAAAGGAGTCCCAAGGTTCTATAGTTCTTCCATAGATAGAACTTTCAGACTAAGCAACACCCCTTACAAGTGATGTTGTGGAGAATACTCGGATGGGGAGGCCAGCCATTTGGGATCCCTGCTTTGTCTAAAAAGGATGAGGCACCCTCCAAAGGCATGGAATGAGTGACATTTGGTGAGTATTCAGATGGAGGGGGCTGAAATAAAGGCTCCTGTCCAGATAAGGGTGGCCCAGCCCAACTGAAGATCCATGTCAGATCTCCTAAGATAAAGGGAAGATCTGCAAAGCTGTCTGAGCATAGTACCATCTGAACCCTAGAAATACATGACAACGACATTCTAAAATGAAACAGCAGCAGGATAAAAGCCAAATATGAACATTTCACAACTCTGTGCTGCAACTCAAGTGCAGTAAATTTACATGTACTTTGCATACAAATGAGGTTTTCTCACTCAGCAGCTGAGCACATATAAATTATAAGCGTTTCATTTTCCACTGCAGCTTTATGAACAAACCTTTCTCACCACAGTCTGGCAAGATGATCTCACACACGTCTCTTCTCTGGCTGCTGGTTCTCTGGATTCAGGGTAAGAAATTGAAAACAAAGAATTTGAAAATGTAATGATCCATGTGAGAGAACAGAAGAAATGTTGCCACTGGATTCATTGTTCTATGTGTTGTGTTTTAGTGTCAAGTCACACTGGCAAATTCAAATTGTGTTTTATTATTCGTCATATCCAGCATTGTGTCATTGTTCATTTCCTTCCCACCCTCTCTCTTCATCCAGACTCCTCTGGGCAAACTGTGATGACTCAGTCCCCGGAATCTCTGGCAGTGCCAGTGGGAGGGAGAGTCTCTATCAACTGCAAAGCCAGTACGAGCGTTGGCACTTGCCTAAACTGGTACCAACAGAAACCTGGACAAGCTCCCAAACTTCTTATCTACTACGCCACCAACCTCCAGTCGGGGGTCCCAGCCCGGTTCAGTGGCAGTGGGTCTGGCACTGATTTCACATTCACAATCAGCAGCGTGGAAGCTGATGATGCTGGAGATTATTACTGCCAGCAGTGTAGCAGCTGGCCTCTCACAGTGATACAGACCAGTACAAAAACCTCCCTGCTCTCTGCAGCGTGCAATGCAGTTACCGCTTGTTGGGGATGTAACTGTCTGCATTTCAAATGTTGTGTCAAACATGAAATAAGAGGGTGACTTATTCCATCTCCAAGCACACAATAAAAAGGAGAACACTGGAGGACTCAAAAGGTTTGGCTAATCACAGACTCTAGATTATACACAGAGACTTGAGGCTCACTACAGTTTTCTCTGCTTTATTCCCACTCTTGAATCTCAGGGCGCCAGAGACAATTTCATTTTGGAAAAATCAATGATTTTCATGTCAACAAGGCTGACACGTTCATTTAAACTTTGTCAACTGAACTTTATAACACAACACCCACCGCAATACAATAGAACAATCAAAATGATAACATCGAAACAACCATTTTGACCATATCAAAAGGAAATGTTTTGACCTTATCAAAATTTTTCCCTGAAAATTTGAACAGAATTCATGTGTTCCCACAGAACGTTTAAATTTTGTTAACTCCACACTTCCTGACAGAAAGCTGTTCCTTCGGAAACATTAAACCAGCTCTGCCATTATAAATACACTTCTAAAATGGTCTCAAGGCTCCTCTTATTTGAATAGATAATCAATAAAATCCTACTTGAAGGTCTCAGAATCATTATTCACCTAAGAAATTATATAATCTAGGGATTTTAAAATGGTGTTAAGATCAGGTTCCTTCTTGCTCTGTTGTAGAGTATGTTAAGACCTTATGGGCCGGATTCACAAAAGTCCTTATGGGAGCAAATCCCCAAACACACATGAACCCAGAGGCACAAGCAGGTAATAGGCACACACAGGATTTTCACAGGGACTGGGCAGATACACCAGAGGAGGCGTGCGGCCCAATGGGCAGGGAAGTGGGAGTGGCCACGCAGAAGGATGCTGGTGCCTTTTCCAGAATGACTTGGGGTGTGGACACATTCAGACAGGGTCTGGTAGTAAAAGTCAGCAGGAGTCAATGGAAAAGGTGTTTAGCCAGTTTCAAAGGGACAGCTGGGTGGACCACACCCACCCAGAAAAGCCAGCAGCTGCAGAGAGGGGTAACTGCAGTGGAGTTTAGCAGGTTTGGAGGCCCTGCTGCTCCTCTCACAGAACTCCCTGTAGCTCTGAGACTTGGGCGCCAACTAGGTCATGGAAGTAGAGGGGACAGCGGCACAGACGCAAAGGGCAGCGCTGGAGCCTGGCACACTGACACCACTTTTCAGCATTTCTGTGCTGTGGATCCACCCAAAATCTGAGTATGCTCGGACATTGGGTCTCCTCTTCCCAGACCTCATTTTCATCCTGCCTGCATGCACCCTGCAAGCCTTTGAAAACAGCCTTCATTCTAGGCGTGCCAAAGGCACGCAGCCACTGGTGCTGATGCAGAGAACCGTGCAGCTGCTAGTGCCGCTGCTTCCTTCAAAATCTGGCCCTATCAGTATAATGATAATGGATTAATTAAAAGAGACTAAGATGATTGACTGAGAGATTGAATGATTGTAGCTCTTCTAACTTGTGTTTCAAGCTGCCGCTCGCTCGGTTACTCATCATTAATCGAACAGCCATTGTTACCCCCTGTGCTTGGAAAGCTAACTCCGGCTGCTTTACCATCTGAATCATGCAAATATGTTATAGTTATAGGTATTACATCCAATAACCAGACGAAACCATCAGGTCAGATATTTCAAAGCTCCTGTCTGGCATAAACATCTGATTATTTACATAACTGGGCTCTTTTTGCATATTCACACATGGCTGATGGTCCCTCACTCAGCTGCTGAACACATAAATGGTTCCATTTCCACTACATGCCTGACTGAGGAGCACTTCCAACCCCACAGAAGCAAGATGATCTCAAAGACTCCCCTTCTCTGGCTGCTGCTTTTCTGGCTTCAGGGTAAGAAACAGACAAGTGTCAAAAGTGTTAACAAGGAATGTGGCAAATCATAAGAAAAATGCCCATGGTTTGTAAAGTTATATGCTGATTCCAGGTATAATTTTAGTTTATTTCTACTGTTCAGTTTACAAGTATTTCAGTGTAGAGCTTTGAACAATGTTAATGTCATTGTCCCATTTACCCAACCCCAGCCCTGCCAATTTTTATTCTCTCTCGCCAGGTTCCAGTGGACAGATTGTGATGACTCAGACTCCAGAATCCCTGGCAGTGTCTCCAGGAGACAGAGTCACCATCAACTGCAAAGCCAGTTCTAGTGTTAGCGGATGGGTGTCCTGGTACCAACAGAAATCAGGACAAGCTCCAAAGCTCCTTATCTATCTTGCTTCCACCCGTTCCTCTGGGATCCCAGACCGGTTCAGTGGCAGTGGGTCGGGCACTGACTACACATTCACCATCAGCAGGATTGAAGCTGATGATGCTGGAGATTATTACTGCCTGCAGAAGACTGCTAGCTTCCCTCTCACAGTGATACAGACCATTACAAAAACCTCTCTGCTCTATGAAGCATGAAGTCTAGCAGACACTCGTACACACAAGTAGCAGAAAAATCTAGTTTTCAAATGTTCTGCCAAAAGAAAAATAAGAGGATAAATCATCCCATCCACTAACAATCTAAAACTCTGGCATTGTATTGTTATCCCGAGAGGTTAGCTATGCAGGGAAGTTTTGTCATAGCATCAGCTGAACAACAGGGGGTCATTAATGAAATCCCACAGTATGTGTTATGACTATTTTTAAGTCTCACCTCGACTGTTAATTTTCTGGGTTTATAATCCTTGGTGTTTGGATCATGACAACATTCCGGTCACTGATTTTATCGTCAATTATTAATACTCTCAGCCTTATCTCCATCTTCTTCTTATTTATTTTTTTGCATTGCAGTAGTGCCCACAAAGCCCCAGACATGGACCGGGACCCATTCCGCTAGGTGCTGTACAAACACAGAACCAAATGAAGCCCTTTTCCCAAAGAACTGCTACAATCTTAATGTAGTTTGTGTCTGGGAATTAACACATTAATCCAGAAAGCAAACTTAATTAGCTCAAAATTAACATTTTTTTTTAGACAAAAGACCCAGAGCATGGGAAATAAAGGTAATATTCACTTATTCATGCAGCACAAGTAAACTGACACCAGATGACCTACATTAAACCATTGACTAGGGTGACCAGATGTTCCGATTTTATAGGGACAGTCCAAATTTTTGGGTCTTTTTCTTATATAGGCTCCTATTACACACCTCCCCCACCCCCATCCTGATTTTTTCACACTTGCTGTCTGGTCATCCTACCATTAACACACACACACACACACACACACACACACAGTCACAAACTATGCAGATCAGGTGTGGGCCATCAGGGAAGGAAGTGCCTCATTCTGGGAATGACACAAAACACCCTCTCACGGGCGGATTTATGGCCGATAGTTCCCTGTTTGATCCCTTTCCCAAACTTTGCACCATAACTATTTTCTGTGGAAAGCAACAAAGGGTCCTATGCCATCTGAAGAAGTGAGGTTCTTACCCAGGAAAGCTTATGCTCCCAATACTTCTGTTAGTCTTAAAGGTGCGACAGGACCCTCTGTTGCTTTTTACAGATTCAGACTAACACTGCTACCCCTCTGATACTATTTTCAGTGGGTTGCTGGTGGGGAATCTACTGGTGTCTTGCACTCCGAAGCAGGGGACCCTTCTTGGCCTGTATGGGAGGGATACAAATGCTGCTTGTTGTCACCAGCAAGCAGCAGGTTGTGGTTAAGCAGCTAGAGCATGTGGGATGGCTGCTCTTGGCATGTCTGGAACAATATCTGCAAACACTTGGAAGGTGGTAAGGTGATAGGGAACAAACAGCCAGCATGGATTTGTAAAGAACAAATCATGTCAAACCAATCTGATAGCTTTCTTTGATAGGATAACGAGTCTTGTGGATGAGGGAGAAGCTGTGGATGTGGTATACCTAGACTTCAGTAAGGCATTTGATACGGTCTTGCATGATATTCTTATCGATAAACTAGGCAAATACAATTTAGATGGGGCTACTATAAGGTGGGTGCATAACTGGCTGGATAACCGTACTCGGAGAGTTGTTATTAATGGTTCCCAATCCTGTTGGAAAGGCCTAACGAGTGGGGTTCCGCAGGGGTCTGTTTTGGGACTGGCTCTGGTCAATATCTTCATTAACGACTTAGATATTGGCATAGAAAGTACGCTTATTAAGTTTGCGGATGATACCAAACTGGGAGGGATTGCAACTGCTTTGGAGGATAGAGTCATAATTCAAAATGATCTGGACAAATTGGA